CTGGGAACTGGGGAAGCAGAGGGCCCCAGCTCTGGGCATCTGACGTCTCCTAATGCACCTCTCCGTGGGCTGAGGCATTACAATCTCTAGTGAAAGAGTACTAGACTCCAAACATTTTCACCCAAGGAAGCCCCAGCAAAGGCTAGATTTTTAACACATCAACCTGGCTCTTCTAGTAGACTTGATCAAAAGTCAGTACTTTGAGAAGGGGCTTCCCAGGTGGCTCAGTGGTAAAGAATCTGCCTGCCAATGCAGGAGACACAGGTTCAATCCTTGGGTTGGGAAGATCCCCTGGAGGAAGAAATGGCAACCCACTCCAGTATTCTTGTCTGGAGAATCCCATGGACAGAGGAGCCTGGAGGGCTATGATCCATGGGATCGCAAAGAGTCAGACACAACTTAATGGCTGAGCACAGACACATGCATGCAGTACTTTGAGGTGTCCAGAATTTTGTGCCTTAAAGCCTCATTGAAATCCCCACTACTGTGGAATTCCTGGGCTGGTCTCAGCCAGCTGCCAGTGTAAAGATATATAGTCTGCCATCTATAGACACATCTGCCGATGAACCAACTGCAAATCAAATATATTTGGGGAAAAAGTCCAGAGAGTTTCAAAAAGTAAACCTTGACTCTACCATGCTCCAGCAACTATTTAGAGAGCATTTACATGGTATTAGGTACAGAAATGATTTAAAGTATACTGGAGGATGTGCATAAGTTACATGCAAATTCTGTGCTATCTTTGTTAAGGGACTTGGGCTTCCATGGATTCTCCTAACTGCTAAGGGTCCTGAAATCAGTTCCCCAGAATACTGAGCAACTGTGACTAATTAACTCATTGAGAAGGTGAACCAAACCTTTTCTTCAAGGCTTCACAATGCATATGCTAGTACAGTGGGTTCTATCTTCTCATTCAAGCAATCCTGAAGGAAGGACATCTGCCAGCCCACTGTTAGTTACTGCTGTCATGTGGAAGAAAGTAAATGCCTTTCCTTTAAAAAAGATTCTATAAATCCATCAGTCTTGTCTATTTTAAGTTTCTTTGCCTACATGTGTCGAAATAAGTGAGAGTATAATTTTTGGCCTTTTCTCTGTAGGGTGAGTTTTCAACTTTTGCTGGAGGGCTCATTTCTGTTCCACCTCTATTCCACCTTTTTGGCTGAACCTGGATTCAGGAAACCCAGCAACAATCTTAAGTTTCATTTTCTTTCCTGTGGAAATGAGAAGCCAGAGACCCACTTTGGAACTCACTGTATAGATACTTGTTCTTCACTTTTAGTTTTCTCCTCCACATCTGTTTCCTCTCTCTGGTCTTCAGGTAAAATTATTTCTATTAGATATATTTCTTCCCCACTTTGGTCCTTAATGGGTCATTTAGCTTTATGTGGCTTCCTGACCCTGATAGAAAGCAATATTGAGATCCTAGGTCTTTTTGTTTAACCAGATTCTAAGGAGTCTGATGGTTCCTTTACTCCTTCCACTTTAAGAAGGCATCATAATACTCCAAGATGCTGAAAGAAAAATCCAATAAATACTTCAGCTCATCTATTAAAGCAGTGATTCTCAATCAGAACCAATGTTAGTCCCAAGCCCTAGAGACATTTCTGGGTGTCCAGTATGGAGGGGGAATGAAGCTGACAGGTAGTAGGTGGAGGCCAGAGGACTCTGCCGTATCTCCTGGAGTGCACAGTAGTTCAACAACAAAGAATCATTTGGCCCCAATCTTGAAGAGTGCCAAAGCTGAAAATCCTGTGTTAGAAGAATTCTTGCACTTTTTTCTTTTTCCCTCAAGGCCTAGGGTAAAAGAATAAAAAAGAAAGAAAATGATCCATTCTGGGGAGTGTGCGTGTCTTCAGTTCTTACATCCCACATGGATCCAGAAATTGGAGAGCACAAGGGTACCACTGAGCAGGGCAAAGTGCAAGGTCAAGGCAGGTCTTCTCGGTTCCAACAGCTGTCTCAACTCCAAGGGGAGACAACTTTGACCAAAGCAGAGGACCAAAAACTTATAAGGATGTTTAGTTTGTGATAAAATCGTTTTGTAGATTAAAGTGCTTCCTTCTGCCCATAAAATGGTATGCTTTTTAAATAACTCAAAAATAGAAGGCATTTAACTGTATTGTGAGCAGGAGGCAGGGCTGGCTGCTGTTCAGACCCATGGTCAGTTGCTTCCAGCCTTATAATCAAGCCTGTCCAAGCTGCAGGTGACAGCGCTCTTCCTCTGTTCTCCAGTGTGCTCTTGAATTACACCATGTTCTAAACACCCTTACTGTCAACACAAAGGGATTCAGGGAGTTTCCTGGAACCAATTTCTCTCTCTGCATCTCTTGGCTCCATTATTCTCTCTCACTCCTTTGGTGGTAGCAAGATGGCTGCCTAAGTGCCAGATTGTACTTCCTCTCACATAAAAGCCCAGTTAGGAAGAGTGAGTCTCTTTCCCAAGGTTCTCCGCATGTCTCATTGGCTTTGGTTGGGTCGTGTGCTCAATTTTGAATCGTGTGCTGTGGCTTGGGGAATGCTAGGAGCTGATTGGCTGAAGCCTAGGATACTGAACACCCCTGAGCTAGAATGGAGCCTCATGTCATGCTCATGAGTTAAAAGTGGGGCAGATGTGTTACCTCAAAGGGAAGTAGGGGTAAGATGACCAAACTCGGAGGAATGGATGCCCAGGAAGTTAAACATGTTTGTGGGCATGTGCGCGCGCGCGCGCACACACACACACACACACACACACACACACACACACGCGCGCGCGCGCGCGCTACTTGCCATTGAAAGGCATTGGAGTCTGTGGTGGAAGACTTGGGTTCTTGCTCTGACTTGGCCATTAACTAGCTTCATAATTTGGAGATAACATCATAAATCTTCCAGCCTCCTTTTTCTCCTCCGAAACATGGAAGTAATAATACTATTAGAGTGGTTATGAAAAATTAAGCAAGTATTTTGGGATATTGGAAGGGTTGTGCAACCAAGTGGTGGTGGCATTGTTAGATACATTTAGTTAGTGAATCTAGTTCAGCCTCTAGAATCTAGAAGAATCTGGAGCAGCTACAATCCACCCAGCTGTCCATGCAGGCCTTTGGAAGCCAGTGTCTAAATTTACCCCAATCCTCATCGTTGCAGGTCAGTTTGAAATCTTCTGAGGTCAATGGTTGAGGTAATTAACTTGCTGTGAATCTTGAAAAATTCTTTCTGTTAAATGACATAATTGGTTTTAATTATATAATTATGGTACTTAAAGTGTGGGGGTGAAAGGTTACTATTATATTTAGAAGTGAGATCCCCAAATGAAGCAGGGGCGTGTAAGCCAGTGTTTCTTCAGATTTTTCTTTTTATTTTTTCACAGGGAAGTCAGAGTAGGCTGGCCTTGGCCCTGGCCATTTTGGATGATTATCTTGAATGAGGTAGCGCTTGGGCTGCTCATGCATCATAGAAACCTTTGTAAAGGGACGGGAAAGGGCTTCCGTAAAGACCTCATTGTGATCTGAAGTTAATGAGCAGTGGGAGCTCAACTGTCAGCAATTGAATCTGATTGGGCAGGGTAATTATATGATTGCCTCTGGTGTTTGCACATGCACAGGGATATTTTTATTGGACAAAACCTAATTGCTTACTTACTTAGTGCAGGGAAAACCTAAACAAATTTGTGTTGTCATAGGTTAAAAAGACATCCTTTCTTTGTCTCTAAAATAGCTGCCTGCCCTGCTTTTCAGAAGTGAGGGGTTTTGTTTCATTCTGTCTTCAATCAAGGATATTGTCTGTAGGCCTTGAATTATATGATAGTATGAACATGTAAAGGAAAGTTGCTCTGGGCTGTGCATTTTGGTAAAATGACCACGTGCTTACAGCCATGTCTTAAACCATCCTATACAATGGTTTCTTTCATAATGCAAAGGCAGCTAGGACTTTATACAATACTCAAGCTACTCAGACTTTCACAGTTTCATTTTTTTTTTAATTTGTTTGTTTTGTTTTCCTGCATGGAGGCCTTTGCAAGATTGGCTTCCTAAACTATCTGGTTTTCCTTCACTATATAAGGCAAGTGGAAGATATTGTATCTGTGGTTGCCTTTTAGACATCAGAAACACTGAGGATAAGAACAGCAAAGCAAAGAGCTCCCTCTGTGATTTTCTGGGGACTTGGAGGAACAGGAAGGGCGGGGTGAGAGAGCCAAAGGGAAGAAGTCTTGGGGCTCCCACTTTGAGGATGATGAGATGCAGTCCAGTGTCTCGTGGTTTTGCCTGTCCTGAGTGAGCTTGGCGTCTCGACCTGTAATGCTGATGTGCAGAAAACAGATTGCTACAATTGAGTTTATCCTTTAGCAGTTCAGTGCCACATTATTGCTTCACTTTTTGCCAGTGTTCTTGTAAAGCACACTATTGTCTGTGTTCTTTCCTTTCCTGAGATTCTACTGGAAGAGTTTGAAACACAGCTGGATTGTGGCGATTGGAAGAGCCCCTCATGATGAGAACTGCAGACTCCAGATGTGGTGCCCTTGTTGGGTGTGAGATTATAGGCTGGAGGATGGCTGTGAACAGAGGGCATTAAGCCTCTCAGACCATCTGAGCTTTCTTATCTCAGAAACTGACACGCGCTCACATATCCATCTTGTCTGGGTAACACCATGGGTCCTTTAGGTTCAGCGTGAAATGTCACTTCTTCTGGGAATCCTTCCCTGATCGCCCACCTCCAGTCTACTTGGCTGCCTTTGCTCTGTGCTCCATGATACCCTCTAGGTCCTTTTACCCATTGTCCTTTAAATGCTTGTCTCACTGTACAAAATAGCCCGTACACTCCATGAGGGCAGGTCTTGTGTTTATATTTGTCAGGACTATCTCCCCAGAGCCCGGCGCAGTGCTCGATGGGTGTGTCTGGAATGACTGAATGAGGAAAGGAGTGGTTGTTGGGTGTCCGAGGGAATTGTGGTGTGTGCTGCCTAGGCTTCCGTACCCTTGCTGTTAATACCACTTTCTTGTTGCTTATAATTTTCATTGTCCCAGATGATCCAGCTCTGTCGGAGGCACGGAGGCACAGTCAAATCTCATGCTGTACATTGATCACCTGTCCAACCTTTGCCTAGAGTGGGAGCCCCCAGTTCCTTCAAGAGATCCAACTTTACCTGTCTGTAAAGAAGAAGAGGAGGGAGACAGCAGGGAGGATCCGGTGGCAGTTTAACACCAGAGCAGGTCCAGTGTTTACTTTTACCCTTTTGGAGGTGGGTAACTGCAAATGCCATGGGGAGCTGGGTTTCAGGGCTCTGCATATTGACTGGTGGGGTGGTGGTCACATGTACTTCATGTTTTACTGGAGTGTAGGGGTTGTTATTTTTCTGTTTAAATTATAGCCAGGCTGTTCTGTAAATTTCTAGAAGCATAGGACAAGAATCCGAGTTCATCATCCACATGATGTAGATTTTAGTTGTCCATTGGCCTCCAGTTGTTTGTATTTTGCTATGTGGATAGATTATGGTTCATTCATTAGTTCTCATTTCATCACTATCATTTGTTTTTATCATTTGTCTATAATTTTCAACAGGCTTTCTTGATTTGAAGCTCAAGCTTTTGATGTTTGGAATTTGTCCCTCCTTGGTTGGTCTCTTAGACCATGAGATCCTGGATAACTACTGAATAGATGAAATTTCATTTAGGACCATCCCTCTGTGTTTAAGTCTAGCCCTGTACAATCCTGGGGTATCTCTAACCAGCTTTTTCCCTAAGCAAAATGTGAATCTGTGACCTTGGGCAAAAGAGATTCCTCTTGAACCCCCAACTCCCCAGCCATCCTTGAGTTTGGACTGCCTGTTGTTGGTTGAGCTGTGATAACAATTTCTGGGTGAATGGACAGGTGCGTGTAGAAACTGCAGCCTCATGTGTGGAGGGGCAGGGTAAGCTCTCAGAAAGCCTGGGTGCTTCTTACATGGCAGTCTGTGCCGGCTCTCCTTTGTCTGGAGTATATTCTCTCTCTGATGCTTCCCTTTTTACAATTGTACTGGAAAACAGTGGATTACAATGCTGTGTTAGTTTCAGGTATACAGAAAAGTGAGTCATTTTATGCCACGTAGCTGTACAGTAGGTCCTTCATAGTTGTCTGTTTGATATATGGTCGTGTGACATGTCAATCCCAAACTCCCAATTTATCCCTCCCCCCACCTTACCACCCTGCTGACCATAAATTTGTTTCCTACATCTGTAATTCTATTTTTGTTTTATAGATAAGTTCATTTGTACCATATTTTTAGTTTCCACATATAAGTGATAGCATATGATATTTATATTTGACTTACTTCACTCAGTATGACAGTCTCTGGGTCTATCCGTGTTGCTGCAAATGGCACTATTTTGTTCTTTTCTATGTCTGAGTGATATTCCATTGTGTGTGTATATATATATATATATACACATACCACATCTTCTTTATTCATTCCTCTGTTGATGGACATTTAGGTTGCTTCCATGTCTTGGTAAATAGTGCTGCAGTGAACACTGGGTGTAGATATCTTCGATTTATAAAACCATAAATCTCTTGATATATGGATTGCTTGATGATATGGTAGTTCTATATTTAGTTTTTTAAGGAATCTATGTACTGTTCTCTATATTAGTTGGACCAATTCACATTCCCACCAACAGTGCAGGAGGGTTCCCTTTTCTCTATACCCTCTCCAGCATTTATCATTTGTAGATTTTTTGATGATGGTCATTCTGACTGGTGTGAGGTGATTCCTCATTGGAGTTTTGATCTGCATTTCTCTAATAATTAGTGAGGGCTTCCCAGGTTGTTCAGTGGTAAAGAATCTGACTGTCAATTCAGGAGATGCAAGTTTGATCCCTGGGTTAGGAAGATCCCCTGGAGAAGGAAATGACAACTCACTCCAGTTTTCTTGCCTGGGAAATCCCATGGACAGAGGAGCCTGATGGGTTACAGTCCATGGGGTTGCAAAAGAGTCTGCCATGACTTAGTGACTAAACAACAACAACAACAATAATTAGTGATGTTGAGCATCTTTTCACAGGCTGTTTTGGCCATCTGTATGTCTTCTTTGAAGAAATGCATATTTAGATTGTCCCCCCAGTTTTTAATTGGGTTGTTTGCTTATTTGATATTGAGCTGCATAAGTCGTTTGTGTATTTTGGAAAGTAATCCCTTGTAGGTTGCATCATTTGCAAATATTTGCTCTCTCTGTCCCTTCTGAGTCTGTATTTACGTTCTTCAGTCGCATATCTGCTTTGGCATAATAAGCACTTAAATTGGAAACTTTGGGAGTTCCTTCAAGAAAGAGAGTTTAAACAACCTCTTCTTACAGTATGTGTGTTCACCAGTGCTATGTACTTTGAACTAAACAGGAATGGGCCCTGGTAAGCTTTATTCCCGAATCCAAGGAAAGTTTAGTTTAATTTTCAGTTTTGGAATAGCACCAACGGATGCCTCACCACCTCATATCCTTTCTGGATTGAGGCAGGTAATTACTGCCTACACAAATAAATCACATACTTTTGGAAAGAAAAAAAAAACCTCTTTGAATGACATTTGATTTATAATTAAACTTGGCGATGCAGTCTCTGAAGTGTCTCATCTTGTCTAATCACAATGATCTGTTTCCTTTGGGAGTACTTCTGCATGTAGGAGTTAGTTCTCTTGTTGTCATCACATACTATGGCGAAGGGAACAATTTAAGACAGGAAAGAGAAAAATTAGAATAAATAATTTCCATTTTCAGTCAAATTCAAACCACGGATTGTTTCTATTCATATTCTTTAAAAAACATCTTTGCGTCCCTTTGTCGACTGATGCACTCAGCAAAAAGATTTAAATGCAGGCTAAGTGCCCTGCTGGGACCAGTAACCTCCTTCCCAGCATGGCCTGGGAACTTGTTAGAAATTCAGAGTTTCGGACCCCACCCAGACCTACTGAACTGTACCAACTCTGCAGGTGGGGTCCAGCACACTGGGTCTGAATGAGCTTCTTGGCGATTCTGCTGCACAGAAAAGTTTAAAAAGTATGGCTTAAAACTCCTGTGAGTGCACGAGGTGAGAGCATTCACAGGGTTTTCCCTCTAGCACTTGTCAGCCAGGAGCTTGAAATCTAGTCATGGACACAAAGCATTAACTTCATCAGAGAGTTAGGCAGCGTGATCTGTGTAAAATGTAAAGTACATCATACGCTCACTTCCTAAGTCCCTCCAGGCAGTTCCCTTTGTCCTCCAGATAAATATCAATGCTTGGCTCAGGCCTCCAGGGCCTGGCATGCTCCCTTCCCTGCCTACCTGCCCATCTCATCTGGTGCTCTTCCCTGCCTCTCTCAGTGCTCCGCCACACCACGCTGGCCTTCCTACTGGTCCTCAAACACGCCCACCGAGGGTGATGTCAGCAGGGAAACAGAGGAAGGGGGAGAGAGAGGGAACTGCCAAGGTTAAAGAATAGGCTTGGTCACAAGTATGTTTCAATTTGGTACAATATTTCTAAATTTTGGTATAATATTTCTGAACCTTTATCCCCATTGGTTAATATATTAGTATGTTGATTCTTAAATCTATTGATTCAATAATATGTGAATATTAGTGACCCCATCTTACAGTGGAGCAAAGTCTGAAAGGACTCTCTGAATCATCATGGACATACTCAGTGTGATTTGATTTGAGTTTCCATGTCATGCGTTTGTGACAGCCTTCTCTTCTGAGAGTTGGCGGGCAGACAGTGTTCAGCTACACATCACACGTGGGAACCGCGTGGACGTGGCTGGAGATGGCAGATGCTGAGTGTGAACCCATCTGTGCGGCCCCGGACCACGGCAGAGCCGAGGCAGGCACCTCACTGTCTTCAGTTGGTTTCAGGAAAGATAATGACTATGTTTGTTAGGTTTTGTCTCAGTAAAGAATTATCTGGGAATGCCAATTATGGTGTTTGGGATATTAAATGCATCGTACGATTAGGGAACAAACTAACTGTTTGGAGGATTTTTACTTTTAGAGGAAAAATAGTGTCTCAGGATCCTCTCCCTAATGAGAAAGGGTAAACACATATCTTAAATATGATTTGTCAGGGGAGAAAAAAAAACGAGGCAAAGGAATTAAATATGAGGCAAAGGGATTCTTAAAGATTTTAGGACCAGCAGTGGTTTTTTGGTTTTGTTTTTCATCTCAGTTTTGTTTTCACTCTCCACAGCTCTTTCATGGTAACAGACTTTCTCATTTTGTGAGTGTAGCACCTCTGGTTTCAGACGTTATTTACTCTTAGGGAAGTGTCTCGTTTGAGATCCTCAGTGGAGGAGCGAAAGGTGGGCTAGAAAAGTGAAAGGTGCCCTGGAGGAGCTGTCAAAAAGAGTGGTCGGTGGAGGTGTGCTCAGTCCTGGAAGCCTTTCAGCTTCACTTTGCCTTGTAAAGTTTAAAAGTCTCCAGGGAACCGAGGCGAGTCTCTCCGCACCATGTGAGCAAGCTCCCTGACTGGCCACGAAATCCTTCCTGTCAGAAGGCAAAGCTACTCTGCTGCGTGAGGTTGGGAACGCACAGTAAACGTCCTGCCCCTGCCCTCAGGGAGCCCACAGTCCAGAGGCCGGGAGACTTCAGCAAATACTGACGTGAAAGGAGGTGCACTTTCACACTTCGGAACGCAGTCTGGAGGGTGAGAGAGCTATAGGAGCAGAAAAGCAGGCTCCCAGTTCTCTTTGGACACAGTTCGGAATTGAAGGATGGCCAGTTTTGTTTGTTTGTTTGTTTTTTGGGGGGTTGTGTGTTGAGGATGGTGGTTTGGTGGCGGGTGAGGAGGAGTGTCTCTGGAGTGCTGGCACCAGCCCCCACATTGGCTGGAGCTCTGCCTGTAGAGTCAACCATAGCGGAGAATGTTCTGAGCAGCCACATGGGTGATAACAATAACACCCCAAGACTGACTGCAGAGTGTACCCCAGGGGAGGGCCCCTCCCCCAGGAGAGACCCAGATTTCCTAGTGTCCGCTAACAGCCCCCGGATCACTGTGCCCCAGGGTGAGGCCAGCACTTTGGTATTCGTTTCTCTTCCTTTAGTTGCTTCCTCCAACTCTTTGGCTGCCTCTCTCTGAGTTCCTTCATCTTTGAGAGCAAAGCTGCTTGTGGGGAACCCTGACCATACCCTCAAAGAGTCTTACTTTTAGGAAGCATTTTAAGCATCTTCAGAGCATCTTACTGGATGTGGCCAACAGCTCCTAGGAGTGAGGAGCTGTGTTCACCCATTGCTTCCTTGACCAGAGTCTTTACTACACGTCCCATCTGTTGGAGCCAGGACATACCTGGGGGCAGGTTCTCTGTCTAGTTTTGTCTAGTGCCTGACAGGCTAGCTTTGCACAGATCTTGCACTCAGAAATATTTGACAAATGAAAGAAGAGATTGTGCAAATCCAAATGCCTTTGCAGTGCTGAGGCTTGACTTCAGGAGTGTGGAGTAAAATTACTCTCTGGATGGATTCATTTATTTATCCATCCACTCATCCGAAAGCAGTTGTTGAGTTCCTGTTTAACTGTGTTGCTGATAAACAGTGCCTGGCATGTGGTATGTTTATAATCGATGCTGGTTATTATAGAGGAAATGCAAAACTAACTCTGGCTCCTGAATCCCTTTGCACTCTTACCTCACTGAGTTCTACGGAAGCCTGAGCTGCTCACCCTTCTCCTGTCATTTAGGAGTGACAGTCGAAGGTCCCCGGCTCTCAGGGCGTCAGCTTCTCTTCAGAGAGGAGAGCTCAGCCATAGAAGGGAGCTCATGGCGTGAGCTCTGATGTTTCAGGGTGCAGAAGGACTGCTCGCTGGTTTGTCTGCACAAAGCCTGGGTGAATACAAAATGACAGGGCGTGGTTACATGTCAGGGAATCTGCGTGGCTTTTTAAAAAATCAATGAATTAATAAGGATGGTCATTTGGAGTAGTGAGTTTTCACTTAAAACCATTACTGAATTCCCAGCAGCTTTTCATTGTCAGGTGTTTTTCTGAATCAAAAGAGGAGAAATAAAATTACTTAGGGGGAGTGGTAAGCAAACTATTTTTATCTTTAGAAGGAGTCCCTATGAAAAGTGTGCTGCTCCTGACTTGCATGATAACTCTGAAGTTTGGTCGTGCCCTTCTTCAAGCAGCTCCTGACCCAAGGGAAAATTCTGAATGCCTGATGGCTCTCACCAGCGGCTGCAGTGTAGGGATGGATCTGGCAAGCAGATGTTTATGGTGGAAACTTTCCATTCTAGAATAGTTCCTTCTGAAGCAGGAGGTGGGTTAGGTCAGAGAAGAATGTGCCAGACAATGTGCCCCTTTGTTAATCAATGTTGTCATCTTGGCTGCCCCTTGAGCAGCCTCATCTTCCTAAAATCTTCAGTAAGAAGGCCATTCAACAAATATATCTAGCATTGGCAAGGATTTTTCTAGCCCAGCTCTAACAACAGGGAATGGATTTAATCAGATTCAAGGAAACCTTAAGACTCATTCTATAACAATATTACCTCTCTGGAAGAGCTCTGGAAGGCAGATTATCAAATACCAGTTCCTTGAGCAAAACTTGAAAACAACTGATGCCAAAGTAATCAAATTGACTGTGCCAGGATCTGATTCTTAGGGACATTTACCAGGCTCACTGGGACATGTACTGTATTCAGTACTTGGATGAATTAATCTAATGAGTCTTCATAGCAACCCATGAAGTAACCACTAATATTATGACCATTTCATAGACAGGGAAACTGAGGCTTAGACCTACTAGGTAACTTGCCCAAGGTCATCTAGTAGTGATCCCTCCTACTTTCACCATTGAACTGATAATATGGCCACATTGCTGATTTTAAGTCACAAACTATTATTTTAAGTTTTATCCCTCCTTTATTTCTTTATTTGGAAAATGCAGTTCTTACATACATATACATACAGTTATTATAAGAAATGATCATTTGAGTCAATTTTAATAGATTTGACAAAGGGCGGTATCTATATAATAGTAACAGAAACACTGAGTTTGGTGAAAAAGATATTTCCAAGTTGTCTTCTCTGTCCTCATTTGCAGCCTCCACACATGATAGGATGTGATTCAGAGGTTGCGTGGAGGGGGTCAGAATGATGCTCACAGTAAGGAATCAGGTGCTTTCCTTACCAAAATGTGGCTTTGAGCAGGTCATGTGGCTCCTCTAGGTTTCAGACTTTTCTGGTACATGAGGTAATTGGAGTTACTTCAACAATATTTGTTTGGCATCTGTCACACATGCACAAATGATAAGAGGCTCACTCTCCCTTACTACAACTGTCACGCAAACAGCCTGATGTAATGGGATCTATTCTAGGGGACATCTCTCTACCTCTCTGAGGGGCTAGAGCACTTCAGGCTGCCAAGTCAGGCTGACATCAGCAAATGCTCATTGAGTGCCTACCATGGAAACGTTCCATTCTAGGAGCATTGCATTCCGTTGTGCTTGGGGTTGCAGGCTGTGGAGAGAGATAGTAGACCAATAAACAAACAGATAAGGTGATTTTAGAAACCAGTTAAATGCATGAAGAAAATACAGTAGAGCAACGTATAATGACAGTGACTGAGCTTGGAAGTACCTACTCTACCTAAAGTGATCAGAAAGCATCTCTGAGGAGAAGACACAAAGAAAAGGCTTGGAAAATGAGAACTGCTTTCTAGGCAAAGAATTGGGTGGAATAGCCTTGATGTATAAAGTTCTACAATTTCATTATTCTTTTTTTCCTAAGATTGATTGACTTATTTTTGGTTGTGCTGGGTCTTCGTTGGAGTGCTCAGGCTTCTCATTGCAGTGGTTTCTCTTGTTGTAGGACACAGGCTGTAGGCGTGTTGGCTTCAGTGGTTGCAGAGGGGTGGTGCAGTTATTGTGGCTCACGGGCTCTAGGGCACTGGCTCAGTAGTTGCCGCATGCAGGCTTAGTTGCTTCTCACCATGTGGAAACTTCCCGGACCAGGGGTTGAACCCATGACCCCTGCCTTGGCAGGCGGCTTGTCAACCACTAGACCACCAGGGAAGCCCAATTTCATTATCCATTCAACAGAGAAGTTGAGATGTCAGCTATGTGATTTCACTGCTTGGGATTTGTTGATTTTTTTTTTTTAAAGGTCAAGCACATGTTTAATTTTTTGTAAACATTCCATGTGTACTTGAAGAGCATGTGTATTCTCTCTTTAAGGGACTGTTCTTTGTTTTTTTAGATGCAGCTTATAAATTATATAACTAAAGCCTTCTATAGCTCTATTAATGTTTTAGCTGTTTAACTTCACAGCTGCTGAGAGGTGAACATTCATATACTTGTGGTGATTATGATTTGTTCATTTCTCTTAGTAATTCTATCCATTTTTGTTTTATTTATGTCCAGCTCCTGGTGGGTTATTTTTGTTATTAATTATTTTCTCCCTTGCCAAGCAGGAGACATGGGTTTGATCCTTGGGTTGGGAAGATTCCCTGGAGAAGGAAATGGCAATCCACTCCAGTATTCTTGCCTAGGAAATCTCATGGACTGAGGAGCCTGGCGGGCTGCAGTCCATGGGGTCGCAAAGAAACAGATGCGACTTAGCAAGTGAACATGAGCATTATCCCTACTAGTACTTTTACCTATAAATATTGTTTTCTCTGATAATATTGCTGTAACAACATCCTTCTGGTTAATGTACATGTTTGTTTCTTCCATTATTTCATTTTCAGCCTTTGGCTGTTACTGGTTTATTTTTTATAAGCAATATAAAACTGGAATTTTTTTCTAAATTGAGTGTGTCTGTCTTTTAATGGTTGAATTTAAGCTATTTATTATAAGTAATCTATTTGCACTTAACTTTGTCTTCTTATTTTGCATGGTCATGGGTACTTTTTTCTTCCTTTCCTTTAGTACTTTGTTTGAATTGACTGTGCTTCCTTTATTTCTTTTTTATTTTCCCCTCTCCTGATTTGGAAGTTACATACTCTATTTTTCTTCTCATAGTGGTTTGGATAGTATCTAAGGCAGAATTTGGCAAACACTCAGAGGCCTTTAATGCATTGCCTTCAGTAAGTTTAACAGCTTTCTCTAGTATCCTGACTCCCAAGTGGTTGGATCTTTAAAGGGGTGAGGTGTAAATATAAGTACAGAGCATTGTCGCTGTGATAGTTATACCTTGGAGTACAGGCTTCCAACTTGCCTTCGCCAAGACCTGTGCCCTGTTGCCTGAGGGGTCTGGTAATTGACAAACTGGAAAATGATCATGGGTTGTGGGTAATGTAGCAGCTTCTAAGCAGGGAGTCCCTTGGTTTCTTCTGTTGCCCTTCTCCTTGTCTGCATTTTGAGCTCTTGCAAGTGATGATAAACATTAAATAGCTCCTGTAAAGCTGTTGAATTGTCAGTTTTTAAAATGCATAAAACACTGACATTTTCATTAGATCCTGGCCCTGAGGAATGTCCGGCTTTCATCATAACGGATTTGTTTACTTCTGCAGAGAGTCTTAATGTGCTGCCTATGGGAGAGATCTTACTGTCACCTGCTCTTAAATGGGAAAGACTTTGTTCAGCCAAAGATTTTTGGAAAAGGATTTGCAAGAGGGCTTTTTCACCTCCTCCTGTCTTCCTTGCTTCCATTTCCCAAAAGGGTAAGGCATGGGAATAAAGTCTTTGAAAAATTTTAGTATCAGACAGGAAAATTTTCAACGTAAAATAATCCTGTGAAGTCCATTAGGAGACAAAATGTTGGAATGATACTATTAAACCACTATTTAGTTTCAGTGTATCCTGTTATAGATAAGCAAGTCATATCTATGTCTTTTTGACCTCAATCTTTTGGTCTACATTTAAACAGATATCTTGATTTTGGATTAATAAACTCTTCTGTGTATATTCTTAGAGAAAACATTTTAAACTGCTGGGTCCATCTAAGCAAATAAGAAGAGAGAGGACTTTTATCTTCTGATCGTTGCATTAGATTTTTAGCAGAAGATGCCAAACTCCTCATGAACAAATGTAGAGTCATTCCAGTTTAACAAGCTGAGAAATGTGTGTGCTGAAAGACAGTCCTGTCTTAATATGACCAGGACTAGGAATGTTAACTTTTCTGGAATCAACATGTTTGCAATTTATGGAGAGATGTCTTGCTTATTTTATATAGAACTTCCTCTTCTGTATTAGCTTGTTGAGTGTGTGTCATTGGCAAGTTTGTGCTTTCACATTTCAAGAGAGGCACCCTGCCATAGGGAAAAAAAAGTCTCTCAGGCAGACCGGCACTTGATTTCTGCTCCTAGGACATACTCACTGTGTAATCATAGGTGAGTTCATGATTCTTTCTGAGTTTGATTTTCTTATCTATAACTTTGAAATAATAAACTGACTTTTTAGAACAGATATGAACATTAAGTGTGATAATATAGAGGAAATGCTCAGCACAGAGCCTGGTACGTACTAGGGAATTATCTAATGAAACTTGATGATAGTGAGTGATGCTAATGACAGTGGGTGTGATAGAGACGATGGTAATAAATGTAATGGTGATGGTGAGGATACTGCTGTTCATGGTAATAATGGTGATGAAGATGGTATTGGTGGTGGTGATAACCAGATGTTAGGAGTTCTTTAAAGTCTGAGAAAGGATATCATATAATCAAAAATCATGAGAAAAGATAAAACTATCACTACCTGGACTGTGAAGAAAGCTGAGTGCCGAAAAATTGATGCTTTTGAACTGTGGTGTTGGAGAAGACTCTTGAGAGTCCCTTGGACTGCATGGAGATCCAACCAGTCCATCCTGAAGGAGATAAGTCCTGGGTGTTCACTGGAAGGACTGATGCTGAAACTGAAACTCCAGTACTTTGGCCACCTCATGCGAAGAGTTGACTCACTGGAAAAGACCCTAATGCTGGGAGGGATTAGGGGCAGAAGGAGAAGGGGACGACAGAGGATGAGATGGCTGGATGGCATCACCAACTCGATGGGCATGAGTTTGAGTAAACTCCGGGAGTTGGTGATGGACAGGGAGGCCTGGCGTGCTGCAGTTCATGGGGTGGCAAAGAGTCGGACATGACTGAGCGACTGAACTGAACTGAGCTGACCTGACCTAGAGTCCTCCAGTTCCTTATTGGGCAGTGCAAGTCACTAGAAGGGCATTTCTTAATAAAATTCTATTATAGATATCAAGTCATAAAAGCCTAGTTCATTGGTGTCATTGTTTTTTTCAGTTCTGGATTTGTCTTTAAAAAAAAAAAGCTAGAAGTAGTACTCTGAGTCATTTGATTTTGTCAGTATCCATTTCCTTCCTAAAACTTGCTCATTTCTCAGCTTCTGTGACTCTGAGCGTTTTGGAGTTCTTCTGTCTCCTTGAGCACTTTTCATCAGCTCTCTGCTACCTTTCCTTTCTGTGGTCATTTGGGCCCATGAGTGTGGAACTCAGGGAAGACAATGCAGGAGAACAAAAAGGACCATCAGCAAGGCTGGGAAAGAATCTGAGTGTAGTATCACAGAAGCAGAAAAGAGGGACAATTCTTCCAGGTAGATGAGGAAAGATAGTGTTTCTTATTATAAGGTAAATGATGTGGGTAAGGAAGCCTGAGCAAGACCATTATTGTTGGCACTCAAAGTTCAGTGTCAGCATCTGACACAAAATCACTGGGATGGTGAAAGAAAAAGAACTGAGGAATGCTGAGATGAGGAAATGGAGGCCACAGATGTTGGAGAGGGAGAGGAGGTTGGAGGGTGGAAAGACTTTTTTTAGATAGGAGAGAATCAGACCAATTTGTAGACCAAGAGGAGGGAGCCAGAGGAAGCTGAGTAGGAAGATACAAAAGCAGGAGGATTCAGATATTTGGTCCTGGAGGAAATAGGAGAGGTAGAGGATGAATTCACCTGTCACATAGCCACTGAGCAGTCAGAGAATATCATGAGGCAAAGGAAAGTCTAATCTGTGAAGCTCATGTTGAATCACCTTGACTTTCTCCTAATAGAAAATGAGATCTCTGATGAGAATGAGAGAAGTCTGTAGTCATGAGAAAGTCTGACAAGAACCACTGTCTGAAGTGGGAGAGGAAGTTAGCCAGTGATCAAAAGACTTAGCAAGGAGCATTAGGCTCCATGAGGGGTAGGCGGTGTGTGTTTCTGAATCTTCCATACTACACTCATCCTGTTTCTACCCGTGGGATATTCTGTGCACCGTGATCACCCTGCAGTCCTATGGATGGCCCTCCCACACCTGCCACAGTGGGCTTCTTTTCCATCTCCCTGCGCCCAGCCTTGCTCATAGATGGCTGCTACATAGAAATGAACCAGTGGACTGCTTTACGCCAAGGTGAGGAACAAGGTATGATGTCTCATTATATCCAGGCATTACTGTGGCAGGTAGTCAAATGGAAGGCACACAGGGTTAGGAGTCAAGGGCATGG